CTCTCTCTCTCTCTCTCTCTCTCTCTCTCTCTCTCTCTCTCTCTCTCCTTCAAGACAGGTTTTCTCTGGGTAGTCTTGGCTGTCCTGGAACTCGCTCTGTAGACCAGACTAGCCTCAAATTCATAGCAACCTTCCTGCCTGTGCCCCTCAAGGGCTGGGTGCGTAACCAACCATACCTGGCTCTGTTGTGCCATTTAAATACACATGCCTTTTGTTCATTAAAGCTCAATAAAGCTGAAAATAAAAGCACACTGAGATTTGGCAGCCCCTCCCTGGTGACTTTTCCACAACTGTTTGCTAGTGTTGTTGCTGTCCCAAGAGGGTTTGTTAGTCTCTGTTCCACTTGAGTGTGAGCAGGGCCTCAACGTGGCCCACCATCATCCTTTACTGGGATTAGAACCCCGGAGGCCGCAGCACGTTGGCCACTCCCCACTCGTGCTTATGTGGTGGTAGCTAGCTGTGCTGGGAATTCCCAGCCTGCCCCCTCCGCTGTTCTCTTTCTTAGGAGGGTCCGTTGGGTTAGCTTTCTTTGGTTTAGAAGGGTGTTCCTCTCCTGCCGCTTCTACAGTTTATTTGCTCTCTCGCTTTCCTCCTCCAGCTGTGGGCAGATGTTTTGCTGCAGCCTAGCCCCCTAAGAACCCCTCTGGCCTGGCCACCCTGTTTTGTTTTGCTTCCTTCAACTCTGACTTGATAGCACATTGCCAGGGCTCTCCAGCAGGTGCCAGGGGTTAGACCCAGCTTCACCTTCCTGTTGAAGAATAGGTGTTTACATTGTGAAGATGTGTCTTTGCCTAAGGCGCTTTCTGATTGGTTCAACGAAGAGCTAAAGGGCCAATAGCTAGGCAGGAGACAAATGGGAGGCAGAATCTAGGTGAGCAATTTCACCATTAGACTGCAAGTCAGGTGTGCTGTACTAAGAAGAGGTTACCGAGCCACGTGGCAGATCATAGATTAATAGAAACAGTTAATTAAGTTATAAGAGCCAGCTGGGGAAAAGCCTAAGTTAAAGCCAAGTTTTCATAGTTAATAATAAGTCTCTGGGTCATTATTTATGGGCTAAGTCCAAAGATAGTCCTATAAGAAAGCTTGCTATTCCTTCCTAGTCCCCAAAGCCAAACCGAGGAGGGTGCTCAAGCCATGTGGTGTCTTGCCCTCAACTCCAGGCTGGGTGCTGTGGCGAATGTGAACGAAACGTACTGCCATCTCCATTAAAGGGCTAAATGGGCTAAATGAGACGTAGGAAATTTCGTGTCTACATTGTTAAACAGGGGTTTTAGAATCAGCAGCAATCGGTGTAAGAGTGAGCTGGTTGGATGGGTCATGGATGGAGAACTCTTTTTATTAGAGTGTGCACTTCTATTGGGGAAGGGGAGGGGGAGGGGACACACACTCCTAGTGAGCAGGCAGGGGAAGGTCTAATTTGATGATGACAACTTCCCCCCAGGGTGGGCGCTAGTGTGATATACGGTCCAGCTATAAGGTATAGGTGTAGGGGTACAGAGAGCTTTTCTTTACCTCCTCTGGTCCTAATGCAGTCTGCTAGAGAATCTGAGTGTGTGTGGGTGGTGGGACAGTGTCACACTTGTCTTGAGTTTGGGTTTGCTCGCCTTCACCTCTCTGAGTCCTGCCTGTGAGCTTACTCTTCCCATCAGGGACCCGTCTCCGTCTCCTCCTCGAGGGGAGACTTGCTCAGATTATTCAGGCTGTGAGCTCTGGGCTTAAAGGGGCAGGCCTATAAATTTACAAAGAAATTTGTAGAGACACCATCTGGCCAAAATGCCTCCCAGTGGTAACATTTGTTGCAGATCAAAGCATGTGATCCAGGTTTCATGCTGTTCTCAAAATTCACACTTTGCTTATCAACTGCTCCGCTTCTAAATTATCCCCTCCCGTAAGGGTGTGAGGTTGAGCTCTGACCCACCACTCAGAGAGAGGAAAAAGACCTGCTTGCCTCAAGAATAAAAACCCAAGGGGGTCCCAGTAGATGCACTTGCATGGATGGTTTGTAGCCATGCATCTATCTCAGAGGTAAAGCTTCTTGCTTTGGATTGTGTGGTCACTTTCCTGCAATCCCAGGCCCATCTCTTAACAATATGATGGCTTCTGTCTGTGATCCCAACACTCTGGGTGATGGGGAGAGAGGACTGGAATTAGTTCCAGGCTAGCCTGGGCTACAAAGAGAGCTCCGGTCTCAGAAAACCCAACCCAATCCAACCCAACAACTAATCAACCAACCAACCAACACCAAGAAAAACCCAAGAAAGAGTGAGCCCTGGCCAGGGAGGCCCTGCACTCCCATGACAGTGGAGGGTCTGCTGGGGTGAGGCCATGGCTTCCTGGGTACACAGGGCAGAATATGCCGTTCGTCCCCCACCATCTTCTCTTCCCTGACTTCCAACTCTGCTGATCACTCCATGTTTCCTTTCTAGAAAGTTCCTTCCTCTGTCTACAGAATGGACTTATTACTTAGGCACCTCCAACAAGCCAGCTCCTCCTTTCTTTTTGTTCCTCATGCCACCTGCTGCTCCCTGTGGAGGTGGGAGAAGCCATAGATTGGCTTCAAGGAGTTTGCGCTTGGAGAAGCTGAAAAGGGAGCCAGAGACCCACTTACTGGGCATCAGTGTTGCTCACAGGGCTTCTCTTTAACTGGCATGGTGTGTTGGCGAGGCCCCAAGACCAAGGCAACTTGTACAAAGAAAGCATTTAACTGGGGCCATGTTTACAGTTCCAGAGGGTGAATCTAGGATTGCCGTGGTGGGAGGCAGATAGGCACGGTGCTGAAGCAGTTGCTGAGAATTTTACATTCTGATCCCTAGGCAGCAAGCAGAAAGACTGGCCCTGGGTGAACTTTCGAAACCTGAAACCTCGAAGCCCCGCTCCCAGGGACAGACCTCCTCCAACAAGGACACACCCACTCCACAAAGACCCACCCTCCTAATCCTTCTCAAACAGTTCCACTCCCTGGATTCAAATATATGTTTATGAGGGCCATTCTCATTCAAACCACTGCACCCAACACAGCTGCCAGATGTTCTGGAAGCAAGGGTGCTCACTCCTGGAGCCTCTGGGGTGGTCGAGGGAACTTTGCTAGTGGTCTTCCATGAACTTTGGCCAGAGGCTTTCTTTGTTGGTGGTGGTGCTATTTTGTTTCTTCTTTGGGTTTACTGAGGGCAAGCAAATGGTGAGTTCAAGGCCAGTCTCGGACAGCATGAGACCCAACCTCAAACCCCAGCAACTGTGGGGCTGGAAAGGTGGCTCAGTGGTTTACGATACTTGTTACTTTTGAGAATTTTATTCCCAGCACCCACATGGTGACTCACAACCACCCATAACTTCTCTTGTCTCAGCCTCCTAAGTTCTGAGATTTTGGGAGGAGGTGGGCAGTTTTCAAGGCAGGGTTTCTCTGTGTAGCACTGGTTGTCCTGGAACTCAATTTGTAGACCAGAGGAATGGCCAAGTCATCAGAGCTCCCCTCTTCCCAAAGACTCTGTCCTCATGCCTAGCAGACTTAGAAGTACCCTTTGGGCTCACCCGCCTTCCCCCACTCTCCCTGCCCCATACTACTCTTTCAGAATTCTGTATAAGCCAGGTACCATCCCAAATGCTCTTAAAACTGAAAACCATGTCTATTCGTGTGTGTGTGTGTGTGTGTGTGTGTGTGTGTGTGTGTCACATGAAGGGTCAGATGAGGGAATTACAGGCAGGTTGTAAGGACCATGTGTGTGCTAGGGACCAATCTTGGGTCCTCTGCAAGAGCAGTAAGAACTTTTTTTTCTTTTGAGACAGGGTTTCTCCATGGAACAGTCCTGACACTGCTCGGTATACCAGGCTGACCTCAAACTCACTGAGATCCACCTGCCTCAGTCTTCTGAGTGCTGGGATTAAAAGCCTGCACCACCACTGTCCGACTTGCAGTAAGCACTCTTAACTGCTGAACCATCTCTCCAGCTTCATGATTTCTGACTTTTGAACCTCATGCCCACACTTCCTAATACTAAGATTACAGAAATGTGCTATACCCAGTTTTTTCTTTTTCTCTTTCTTTCTTTCTTTCTTTCTTTTCTTTCTTTCTTCCTTCCTCTTTCTTTCTTTCTCTTTCATTCTTTTCTTTTTTCTTTCTTTGTTTTTCCTTCCTTCCTTCTTCTTTCCTTCTTCCTTTCTTCCTTCCTTCCTCCCTCCCTCCTCTCTCTCTCTCTCTCTCTCTCTCTCTCTCTCTTTCTTTCTGAGACAGAGTTTCTTGGTATAGCCCTGGCTGTCCTAGAACTAACTCTGTAGACCAGGCTGACTTCAAACTCACAGAGATCCATCTGCCCCTGCCTCTGCCTCCTGAGTGCAGAGATTAAAGGTATGCACCACCACTGCCCAGTGCTTGGGCCACTACCACCTGGCCACTATACCCACCTTTAAGTGGCTCTAGGGATTGAACCCAGGGCCTCTTACATGCTAGGCCAGCATTCTACCAAGCAAGGCCTATTTCCAGTCCAAGTGTTCTTAGTGACACCTTCCCTTTCCTGCTGTATCTCCACTTAGGGCATCTGTGCCTGAGCCAGACTCCCAGCTGCTTCAGAGGCTCCTATAGAAGAATCTACAGTTCAAGGCCCATCTGAGCAACTGAAAACCTGAAATGGCATCTATTTACGACACAGCAGGTGTGTGGAGGCAAGAGGAGTACAGAAGGAGCTCTCTCCTTCAACCATGTGGGTCCTGGGGGTTTTACTCAGACGACCCGGCTTGGCACTCAGACGATTGTGCTGTTTCCTGCCACGGCATCCTGCCAGCCCCAGCTGAAGTCTAGGGGAAGTTCCTTCCCCATGTGCAATCCATTCTCTAGGCTCAGTCCCTGCTTCCACGATCTTAGAAACACCCCCGCCCCCCAGGTCAGCCATGGAAGCTCCAAGCCCCACAGAGTCGCTGTCCATTTGCACTGGGGTGGGGAGCTTGCTGAGCTGAGTACATCCTGTGCCTGCCTCTGGCAGGAGAACAAACTCAGCATTCCTCCTGCCAGGGCATTTCCAAGCCTTGTCCCACCCCACCCCCATCCGCATGGGTCTGCATGCCAAGAGGCCTTGCCGGGAGTCCTGGCACCTGTCCCGCTAGCTGGGCCTGGATTTTGGAGAGAGATGTTTAAACGTGATCAGCTGCTGTTCGCAGTCCTCTGGCTCTGCCTGACTAATATAGGCATGACCCCACCTCCTTTTGAGGAGCTGGAGATAGAACGCAGCACATCACACGTGCTAGGCAAGCGGCCTGCTGCTGAGCTATATACCCAACCTAAATACTGTGTTCTTAGTTACATTAAATTACGCAGCAAAGAGTAAAAACCACTAAATCGTCTATAGAATCTGTATCCTTCCCAATCTGAGAACCTAATAATCCTTTCAATCATCTATACCTTGTCTCTTAGGAGTCTGGACAAATAACACACAGATTTTAACTACTCCAATGCCTTGGCCTTAACAGACCTGACTAGTGGATCACAGAGCTCTTTCCTCATGGACACTCACGCAGGCACTACTGCTGGGTCAGAGATGAAACCTATTTGCTTCCTAATAAAACTCAGATCTAAATTATTTTTATTTATTTATTTAGTTTACAGTGTTCTGTCTGCATGTGTGCCTGCAGGCCAGAAGAGGGCACCAGATTTCTTTTACAGATGGTTGTGAGCCACCATGTGGTTGCTGGGAATTGAACTCAGGACTTCTGGAAGAACAATCAGTGTTCTTACCCTCTGAGCCATCTCTCCAGCCCCTCAGATCTAAATTATTGTAGAGGAAAATTTGGCTTAAAGGCAAGGCCGGTGAGGTGTCTCAGCTGGTAACGGTATCTCTGGTCAAGCCTGAAGAAGAGTTTTGTTTCTGAGACGCACTTGGTGAAAGGAGAAAAACCAACTCCCAGATATTGTCCTCTTGCTTTCACATGTGTGTTAACACACATACATTAGCACACATACAAATAAAGAACTAATATCCTGGTGCTGGAGAGGTGGCTCAGTCATTAAGAGCACTGGCTGCTCTTCCAGACGACTCGGGTTTGATTCCCAGCACTCATATGGCAGCTCACAACTGCCTGTAACTCCAGTTCTAGGGATCTGATGCCCTCTTCTGGTCTCCATGGGCACCGATCATGCACGTGGTACACAGACATGCATACATGTAAAACACCCATAAACATAAAAAAATATTCTGCACTCACATATGTATACATACACACACACACACACACACAACAAACAAAAAAAACTTTTAAAAATTTAAGAAAAGCTAGGCAGTGGTGGTGCACACCTTTAATCCCAGCACTCAGAAGGCAGAGGCAGGCGGTTGTCTGTGAGTTCAAGGCCAGCCTGGACTACAGAGCTAGTTCCAGGACAGCTAGGATTGTTACACAGAGAAACCCTGTCTCAAAAAAAAAAAAAATTGAAGAAAAAACTGGGTGGCACATGACTTTAATTCCAGTACTCAGAGGGCAGAAGCAGGCAGCTCTCTGAGTTTGAGGCCAGCCTAATCTGGTATACAGAGGGAGTTCCAGGACAGCCAGGACGACACAGAGAACCCTTCCTTGGGGGAAGGGGGATAAAAAAGAAATGTAATAAAATTTTTAAGCCAGGCATAGTGTACACACCTTTGATCCCAGCGCTTGGGAGGCAGAGGAAGGGGGACCTCTGTGCATTCAAAACCAGTCTGGTCTACACAGTGAGCTCCAGGACAATCAGGGTTACAAGCCAGGCCCTGTCTCTAAAACAAGAGCAACAACAACAAAAGCCAACAAAACAAACAAATAAAAAGGCACAACTGACACCTGCAATGAATACTCAGGTCTGTACTGACTATAGGAGGCCAACTCCAAGGATTTCCCCACTCCCTAACAATGAAGGGGACACACACACAAACAAACTAAAGAAACCATTGACCAGGATCAGGAAATCTTTAACTTTTTGGTGCCCAAATAGCCAGCTTCCTCATTCTGCAAGTGAGGCCACTGAGCGCTGAAAGATGAGTGGGCTCAAGCGCTGCCCACCAGAAGGGAAGAATGACCCTCAGAGAAACCTCCATGCCATTGCTGGGGCCCTGGGGAGCGGTCCCTAGAACCAGAAGAGGGAAAGCGTCGCCCCCTGGTGGCCAAGACAGCAAGAACGAGAGAAAAAACTGCATTTAAGATTGTAGACATGAAGGCACTCAAGGAACCCGCGGAGGTGGAGGTGGGCTCTGATGCCTGGGGGAGTTGTCTCACATCTCCTATGCCACGTCTTTCTCTGGGTATGACCTGGTTGATTGACATCTTGTCACAAGCTAGGGTCATCTGGGAAGAAAGACTATCAGGTGAGAAAATGCTTCTGTTTGATGGCCTGTAGTCAAGTCTTTTGGGGCATTTTTTTGATTACTGATTGATGTGGGAGAGCCCAATCTATAGTGAGCCAAGCTACACCTGTGCAGATGACCCTGTTTTGTTTTGTTGTTGTTTTTTGGGGGTTGTTTGTTTGTTTGTTTTTCAAGACAGGGTTTCCCTGTGTGTTTTTGGCTGTCCTGGAACTTACTTTGAGGCTGGCCTCAAACTCGCAGAGATCCGCCTGCCTCTGCCTCTCTACTGCTGGGATTAAAGGTGTGCGCTGCCATTGCCGGGCTTGGCCCTGGGCTTTAGAGCAAGCCGAGAGAGCCATGGAGAGAAAGCCAGTACGCAGTGTTTCTCCGTGGCCTCTGCTTTAGATCACGCCTCCAGGTTCCTGCTCTGACTTCCCTTCATGATGGACTATCAGCTGTAAGATGAAGTCAACCCTCCCCTTCTGGGTGGCAAAGGTCATGATATTTGTCCTGTCTTCTGTTCCTGGGGCTTTGCTGAGAGCGTTTGGTGGTAAACAGTACACCAGGAATGAGGAATGCCAATGGTCCTGCGGAAGCTGAGGCTGTCAGGAGGAGAACACAGGAAAGAGAAACAAGACCGCTGCGGGTGTACGGACACATTTTAGTTCCACAGAACTTGGGTCTGGGGCAACATCTGGTGGTGGGCAAGGGAGCCCTGCCCTCCAGCTCACGTTTCTCAACTGACTGGGATAAGAATAGACTGCACCAGAGGGTTTGTGTGAGGTCTGAGTGAGATCATTCTAGAACAAAGCCCTGGTTATTTGCACCTTTGTGTAGCCACAGTGGGATCAAGCGCTGGTTTGCAGCCAGGATCATCGGAAACTCACCAGGGAGGGCTGCTGGGTGTTTTCTCACCCAAGAATGCAGACGTCCTGAGGCTGAGAGCCCGACCCCCAGCTGCTGCTCTCCTGGCCTTCTGGATGACCTTGGGAACACCTGATCAGTGTACTTGGTCGACGGCTAGCCAAGTCCTCCCTTACGCGCAAGTCTCTGCCTTGCTGGGATTTCTGCTCTACGGTAGGGGGAGGTGCCTACAACGAGAATGTTAAATCCCTCTGGAACCAGGAAAGGAAAATAAGGTCACCTTTTGTGCTGGGGGTGGGGAGGAGCAGCCACCCCCACCCGTGCCGAAGCGCGTGCAGCCTGCGGAGGGCGCTCTCCAGTTGCCACGGGGCTGACACTCCACACGATCACTGACTCCAGAGAAGAGCCTCTGTGGTGGGAGCTGTGCCTGGATGCTACTTGTGCGCGCACAGGACAGCCGGTGCTTCCACTCTCAAGAAGTCTGACTGTCCTCTGAGTGTGGTGGTTGCACATCTTGGATGCCAGCACTGGGGAGGGAGAGGCCAGCCTGGTGTATGGTGAGTTCTAGGACAGCCAGGGATACATAGTGCGATCCTGTCTTGTCTCAAAACAAACAACAAAGAAGCCTGGCTGCCCGTCTTGAAGCACCTGTACTGTGGCTGATGCTGGGTGACTGACTTTGACTTTCAGGCCCACTGAGAGGTGTTGAGAGGGGATCAGAAGGGACCTTTGAAGGGTGAATGGGCCAAGCAGCGTGCACTTGTAATCTCACTCAGGAAGGTTTACCCAGGGAGACTGTGAATTTGAAACCAGCCTGGACTATAAAATGAGACTGCAGCTCAGAAGAAGCCAGGGAAGTGGGGGGGCGGGGCTTGGAGGAGGATGGAGGGAGGGAGATGGACTGAGGAGGGTGGAGAGGAGGGCAAAGGACAGAAGACAAATAGATTCCAGGAGGTTTGTCCCCGCGTCCCGTCCCGTCCCGTACCCCCCCACCTTACCCCCCCACCCCCCCACCCCCCGTTCTCAGAACTTTCTGTATTCTCCATCTGCCCCAGGTGGACCTGCCTTCAGGTCTCCCCACGCCAATGTCCAAGTGAGCTGCCTCGAATGTTCAAATCCTACTGAGTTAGCGCTCACATATTTACCATGTGGTTGGGGTAACTTATTACTGTATCTGTTTTACAGATGATAAAATGAGCGCAGAGAAGGTAAGCAACTCTCTGCAGGACAACCATGTGGTGTGAGGCTGGAGTCCTCTCTTAGCCATTAGTTTATCGATGGAGAAGAGTGTCCTAATCTGATTCTGACCTCGGGAAGCAGCTCAACCACTCTCCTTCCTGAAGCCAGTCCTGGCTTCAGCTTTCATCTGGCACAGAGTGTTGATCTCATCCGCATGCAATAAAACTATTGTAGATTTTTTTTTCTGCGGGCCAGAAGAGGGCACCAGATCTTATTACAGATGGTTGTGAGCCACCATGTGGTTGCTGGGAATTGAACTCAGGACCTCTGGAAGAACTGTCAATGCTCTTAACCACTGAGCCATCTCTCCAATCCTACTGTAGATTCTTAAAACGTTCTGGGGGCTGGGGAGATGGCTCAGCTGTTAAGAACACTTGTTCCTACAGAGGTTCAGCTTCCAGAACCCATATGACTCTCACAACCATTCAGAAGTCCAGTTTTAGGGGATCTGATGTTTTCTGACCTCTAAGGGCACCAGGCAGAATGTGGTGCACAGACATACATGCAGGCAGAACACCCATCCATATGCACATACAATAACACAGAAACTGCCCCAGGGGCTAACAGGCTCAACAAATACTCTACACCTGAGACACAGAACAGGCCCTAACCAAGGTCTTTAGAAAACTTTTCCCCCTCAATTTTTAATTAATTAATTATTATTTTTGAGGCAGGGTTTCTGTGTAGTACTGATTGTCCCAGAACTAGCTCTGTAGACCAGGCTGGCCTCGAACTCACAGAGATCCACCTGCCTCTGCCTACTGAGGGCTGGGATTAAAGGTGTGCGCCACCACTGCAATTTTTAATTTTCAAAGTGTGTGCGTGCGTTAGTGCAGGCGCACACTATCACAATACATTGGTGGAGGTCACAGGACAATGCCCTTACGGGATCCACCTCGTGGAATCTCAGGATCCAATGCCAGGTGTCAGGCTGCATAGCATCATCTCTACCAGCTGAACTGTTCCAGCAGTCCTAGGAAATTTTAATGAATATGCGATTCTGTCCTGGAGTTAATGATCTACTGTGTCACTGAGGTGATGCTTAAATTAATCAATCATTAATTAGGAATTGAGACTTGGTTATAGAATCAACTCAGCTCAAGACTGGTGCCTAGCTGGGTGTGGTGGGTATGTACCTGTAGTGCCAGACTTTAGAGGTAGAGGACAGA